CAAAAGAATCTTAAAGGCTTCAAAAACGTACAAAGACTGCGCTAAATACAAAAAATTCAATTATTGCGGGGTTTCATTGTTGCTGCAAGCACTAAGTTGGGGAAAGGACATGGTCGCCATGTCTGGCAGTGGCCCAGGATATATGCAGACTATCATTACTACGCTATAAATAAAAGTGCATAACATGATTTATCATGTCCCACAAATGATGAAAAAGCATGGCAGTCTGAGGAAGTTTAGTGGACAAGGTATTTTTATCAATTTATATAAGCAAGTACATGGAACACGGAAAATTGAATCACCTGCTCTTCCATGACATACGATACAAATGAATACATATTTCCCAAAGTCTTGGTTCTCAAAACTCTGATTATTCAAACAGAAACTTTCTCCCCACAATACAATACAAATACCCTTTTGGTGAATTTGCATCCTTTCATTTATTTTGAGGTGAAGACAAGAAAAATGATGACCTCCGTCGGTATTTTCACCGAAAGAGCAATCGCTGGGTTGCAGTCACCAACATTCTCCTAGCTGAAAAAAGCCAGGAAGAACTACAAGGACAAGAATGGGTGAAACAGGGGTATGAAAAAAAGGCATGAAGCGAAGCAAGTGAGAAGAATTTGAACAGCACCACCTGTTCAAGTTAACATGAAACCCCTAGCCATTTGACGATAGTGCGTTTTGAAAAAAAAATGAAGATTTCAGTATTTATTGCTCTCGAAACTGCAAAGACGGGAAGGGTATTTAACACAAAACAAGAAAGCAAATCTGATTGGCTATCAAATGGCCTGTTTTCAGCAAGAATAGGACAGTATAAAATCGTTATTAAAGGGGCAGGTGTCACTTGAACGACACACACGTCCCCGCATGTACTAAGGATATATTATATAGACTTGATTGGAAATTATTAGGTTAAGTAACTATTTTAAATAATTGTTATTTAAGGGGTGGGTGTCACTTGGACGAGCTACACGTCTCCGCATGTTCTAGGTATAGTGCCCTTAAAAATTATTTGAGACAAGGCGATAAGCTACTCTTTCGCATCTATAGAGAACTTCCTAATTTCACGCGCCCGCTCTATAAGGAATTTGTGAACACAGCAAAAAAATTTTGGTTTGTTTTCTAAGGTCAGATACGGTCAGACTTTCGGATTCTTCTTCAGAAACATTTAACGAATGAAATGAACCTGAATTAGATCGAAGTTTGAAACAGTTTGAAATCACTTTGTAAGAGACGTTTTTGGTACGTTGTCATCCAAAAGTTTTGCTGCCATAGCAACATGACGACTTCTCCTCTACAGTCCGTCCTTTGTGAGAGTACAGCAAGACACGCCAGACTACGTACTACGCTTCTACGCTACTACGGCCTGCGTGTAAACAATATTGATTTTCTTTTTGTATAGTAATAGTCGTCATACAGTGTACTACGCTACTACGCTACTACGGCCTACTTGTACTTAATATTTACTTCCGTTTATGTAGTAAGATTTGTGATACCGTGTACTAGGCTACTACGCTACTACGGCTTACTTGTACTTAATATTTACTTCGGTTTATATAGTAAGACTTGTGATACCGTGTACTACGCTACTACGCTACTACAGCCTGGTTGTAAAGAATATTGACTTCTGTTTTTTTTAATTATGGTAATAGCCGTCATACAGTGTACTACGCTACTACGCTAGTACAGCCTCCTTGTACTTAAGATTTACTTCGGTTTATATGTAGTAAGACTTGATACCGTGTACTACGCTACTACGGCCTACCTGTAAGGAATATTGACTTTCTTTTTTGTATAATTGTAAGACTTGTCATACAGTGTACTACGCTACTACGCTAGTACGGTCTACTTGTACTTAAGATTTACGTCGTTTTATAAAGTAAGACTTGTGATACAGTGGACTACGCTACTGCGCTACCACGGCCTACTTGTACTGAAGATTTACTTCGGTTTATAATTATAGTAAGACTCGTCATACAGTGTACTACGCTACTACGCTAGTACGGCCTAGTTGTACTTAAGATTTACTCATGAACTAGATGTTAGTGAAAAGCTATTATAACTGTTTTCTTTTAGTAACAAAACTTTCTTTGTTTTTGGACAATAATTAGACAACAACAATATCTGTTGAGGAAAAGGTCTTACAAGGTTTACATGGCTTAAAAAGGCTACTAGCTAAGTTTACTGTAATGGGAAGTATAAAAGACGCAGCAAACAGTAGTTACAAATGCATATCAGTGCTCATAAATTCTTTTCATTTAACGCAACAGTTTGTTACGTACTGCAAAGAACGATTACTCATAAAACCACGCCACTACTCGTAGTACGGATATTTTTTTCAAATTGTTGCTCATATTTCTCGCCGGGTATTGTTTTGGCAATGCACCGCAAGGTGGCCTGAAGCCAAAGTAATCACGAAATTTTTTCCCATCTGAAAACCACTCAGATGCCTCCCTCCTTGGTTGTGACTTATAAAAAATGATTTTCTTTTTGCAGGCTATGGTAACATTGTCCCAATAACAGTTCAAGCGCGTCTGTTTGGCGTGCTATACGCACTTATTGGAATGCCTTGAACATGTTTGACTCGTAAATCCATCGGAGATAAAATAACGGAACTATTTACAAAATTAATTACAAACAGATTACTTTGAGAAACGCGTTTTGAAAAGATCACATCTGACTGAAAAAGTGGAGCTAAAAGTTACGTTGACATCGATTGTGTATCTGTGGTTTGCCTACTATCATTAATGGCTCTCTTGCATGGTTTACGTGAGACACAAGGAATGGTCATATATCAAGTGTTTTCAATTTACTTTCACGACTTTGAGTACCATTGGTTTGGGTGATTACTTTCCGCAATTTAAGAACAGCGCTGATTATTCACTTGTTCTTCGAGCGTTTGCTTGAGCAGTAAGAGATTAGTACTGCGCGTGTTGTGCGGTTACTGCACGAAAAGAACGCAAAGAAGTGTTCAGAGGAAAAAAAACGGTAATAACAATGAACAATTTCCCTGTAACGGGAACCAAATAATGGCGGAAGCTTATAATGATGGCAAAAAAGGCGATTTGAATAACAGTCTTCTAAAGACAGGCGACAGTACCAACCAGGAAGATGTGCCAATTTCAGGTTCTCGAAAAACAGTTTTGCGGAAGAAACAACTATGAAAAGCAAATAGCGTGAAAGTTCAATTAGCCTTGGAATATATTTACTTGCTAAATAAGATTGGTTACTGGGTTCTGGAAGCTTTGACCAGGCTGTAGAAGTTTTTTCCGGGTTGTTCAGCATCGCTTTTAGTAGATTTTGTTGCATGGTATTAAGGAGAAGAAACAAAACTAAATGGGCACATCACGCATGCTTAGTACTTTTTTCCTGGAGCTAAATTTCTGGTCTTGATCTGCAGATCATTTCAGGTGTCTAAAAAATCCTCTTGGGAATTTGTCGGAGAGTTGTCCAATACTACATGTGTATTTAATTGTGAAAAACAGGGACACGAGAAAAAGTGAGGGGTTCAGAAAGAATGCAAAAAAGGAACGATGGCGCTCTTTCCTCGTGCGCGCGTTCTCTCCTCTCTCGCACGCTTATCTCACGCGTTATCCCCTTCTTATGTGCCTGTAATGCAGGCTAGAAACAGGCTAGAAATGGGTGGGGTGGGGAAAGCACTCTCTTATTGATTTTAAGCCTATTAAGTGTGTGCGGTATTAAGTGGAGTAGGTTTTGAGCCTATGTTGTTCTTGTGTGTAGCTTTAATTTATTAATCGTGTTTTGAAGTAGGTTAATAAACGGTTTGGTCTGAAGTTGGGTAGAAATGTTAGGGCCTGTTTACATAAAGGTGGGGGACCCCCGTTAAGGGAGGTAACTCGCTTAGGTGGGGTAACCCCCCTGTCCATATAATTTCTCATTATAATTTGATTACGTTTACATGATAGGTGGGGTGACCCGCCAAGGACGGTATCCCGGTCTATCAGACCGCGTTACCCTCTCAGCCGGGGTCAAATTTTGCCATGTAAACGTTTCAAGTTGGGGTAACCCGCCTAGCCGGGGTCGGATTAGTGAGACATCAAATCAGCGCAAAATTCACTTTGGCGGTGGCTTTGCATCATTATTAAAGTTAACAATAGAAAGCCATTGCACCGAAGGTTGAAGAGCAACAAGTGATTGTAGAAGTGAATTATTCGCCAAAACACGTGGTTTGCCAGCATTTTTCTTGTTTACGTGCTTAGCGACCATTCAATAATCTTGAGAAAGGGCACCCTGGGATCGCGGAGTTTTAAGATCGCATGTAAAGAGAGTTATTTTTTTACCCCAGACAAGTCAGTAGTAATATTTCTTTTACCGACCTAGTCGGGTTACCTCACCTACCTGGGGTCCCCCACCTCCATGTAAACAGGCCCTTAGAAAACGCCCCTTTTACTTTTTATTTTCTTTTTGAGAAATCCGTATAATTTAAGCCATTGTAAGGGTAATGTTGATGCAAACCCACAGCTGCTTTTGGAAACTTGGAACTTGTATAAGTGTCCCTACCGTTGTGTGGACTGAAATAGATGGGGTATCAAAGATTGGGTCCGAACAAACATAGGGTGGAAAAAAACAGAACTTTAAAGCAAAATAAGGTAAGGGAGGCTACAAACATGCCGCTCACCCCCGCCACTTAATATACGTAACTGCATAAATAAACAAATAATGTACATTAAGTCGGACACGAGCCAAGGAGTAGGGAAGACGAAAAATTTTCCCAAGCGGAGGGGAGAAGGGGCTGCTAATGACTTGAAGTGAAGTGGGGAGGCTGAGGAGTGCTGGGGAGGTGGCTAAAGCTTTTTTCTTTTAGCCTCCCGGGCTCCGCCGTCCCTGACGAAGCCCACACAGCGGGAGGTTAACGAGCTTTTTGCAGCGTTAAGCATACCCCCCCCCTGGATAGGATGCTAGTTCAAATAGTGCATCGCAGTGTTACTAGCCCCTCCCCCCACCACCTATTCCAGCAATATGTCACCATTACCTATTTATTCACCTGAGCGAAGAAAGGTAACGTAAGGATCAAAGGCAACTACAATAATCAGTATAATATTAATAATTTATTACAGTGTGTTTCGAAATAGTTGCTGACCTAAGTACATTAAATTGATTATAATTAGAATAATATTAATGAAAATGTACATAAGCTCTAGCTTTAAGAAAGTATATTATAGAAACTCTGTCTAGGAAAAAATATCAAGATAATGTCAATCAAGACACCATGCATTGCTTGAATATTGACTTCCGATTTCATAAAATTACGCGAGTCACGCGATGCACGTCACCGGCTTCAAAACAAGTTTGCTTTGGGCCAGTAAAATGCGCAACATGTACAGATTTTCTTGCAAAAGAAGAACACCTTTCTGCAACAACACTACTTGTTTTTGTAACGACGTTTTGTTTACCTTAAAAAAATATGGAGCCTAGAAATTTAATCGCTGATGGAATTTGCACCAAGGAATGTGGCCAATTCAGCAGAAATGATACATGCCATCATTTAGAATTTTGCCGCTTCTTTTAGTTGCAATATAAGAGACCCGATTCTTGACAATGGTGACTTTTCAAAGCCCAGTTTTCTGCAGGAGAAGAAGGAACAGAGCGAATGTTGACACTACAAATGCTAAAATACGCCAGGAGAAATTAAAAGCAAAAGATATTCAAAATGGGGGAGGGAATGGGGAGACTATAGGGTGCATAAAAGGTGTCTTATTGGAGATGTGTCATTGATTGAATTTATCGGAAGATATCCATACTGCCAATATCGGATATTCAGTAGGGAGGGGTATTATGGGGTGGGAGAACGCTTATTTGAATGGAGTGCTTTTAAATCGCTCAAATACTTGGTTTTAAAAAAACTTAGCCTATAAACAAATGAATGACTAGCAAAGATCCCAAAGTGAAGTATAATTATTAGTTCTGGTGGAATAGGTAGAAGTTCCCCAGTTTATATGCTTCTGTTCTTAAACAATGCAACATTTGTTACGAGTTTGATTAAGTTCTCTTTGTTTCCTTTTAACGAATCCTAACTCGTTGAAAGTTCTTTTCACAGCAGCATGCTGCTCGCCATACAAGGTTTTATAAATGTTCAGAGCCTTTTCATAGCATTCTTCAGAAACAGGGTACTGTTTAACGCTACAATAGATATTGCCAAGGTCGAAATAACTGTTCGCTACAGAGGAATGCTCCTCGCCGTAAATAACTTTTTTAACGGCAAGAGACTTCTCATAGTATTCTTTAGCCTGATTGTACTGACCCAGCTTCCTGTAAACAGTTCCCAGGTTGTTGTAACTTCTCGCTACGTTACCATGGTGTTCACCATAAATCTCTTTTCTAATGGCAAGAGACTTCTTATGGTATTCTTTAGCCTGATTGTATTGACCAAGGTCACTGTAAACAGTTCCCAGGTTGTTGTAACTTTGCGCTACCTCACCATGGTGTTCACCATAAATCTCTTTTCTAATGGCTAGAGACTTCTCATGGTATTCCTTAGCCTGATTGTACTGACCCAGTTTCCTGTAAACAATTCCCAGGTTGTTGTAACTTCTCGCTACGTCACCATGGTGTTCACCATAAATCTCTTTTCTAATGGCAAGAGACTTCTCATGGTATTTTTTAGCCTGATTGTACTGACCAAGGTCACTGTAAACAGTTCCCAGGTTGTTGTAACTTGCCGCTACGTTACCATGGTGTTCACCATAAATCTCTTTTTTAATAGCAAGAGACTTCTCATGGTACTCTTTAGCCTGGTTGTACTGACCAAGGTTTCTGTAAACAGTTCCCAGGTTGTTGTAACTTGCCGCTACGTCACCATGGTGTTCACCATAAATCTCTTTCCTAATGGCAAGAGACTTCTCATAGTATTCTTTAGCCTGATTGTACTGACCAAGGTTTCTGTAAACATTTCCCAGGTTGTTGTAATTGTCCGCTACGTCACCATGGTGTACACCATAAATCTCTTTGCTAATGGCAAGAGACTTCTCAAAGTACTCTTTAGCTTGATTGTTCTGGTCAAGATCCTTGGAAACATGGCCTTGCACTCGAAAATAATTCGCCTTTTCCAGCTTATCTCTTAGCTCGTCATCAAGATAATTTACAAAATCAGAGCATAATGTACAAAAGAGGTGAGCGTCCGATATATTACTCAATTTGCGACTGACTTCAGCAGTTGAGGAAAGCCAGGATACTAAATTTCTAGGAGCTATGGAGGGGAATAATTCATTATTAGTTAATTCTGTGTCGGTAAAATTAGTCTTGAAATGTTGATATAACTCTTTACAATGACTGGTAGTTAGTCTTAACTTTATGCACGCACTCTCACTTGCAAGTAGCAGCTTCTTGTTGTCTTCAATTAATGAACTGAAAATCTTAACAGCAACAGAAAAGTACTCAGCTTTATGTGTGCGGTTCAGGACTGATGTTACAGTGGACTTAAGCACTTCATGAACAACGTTATGTACTCTTAAGTAAGTGGGTGTGCCGTCAACATCATACAAGCAAGTTATCATGGTCGATTCCAGAATTTTAGCTCTGATAAAATCTTCTTTTTGTTGCTTGTTACGAAATTTAACAAAGTCAACTGCAGCCTCAATAGGTAGAGAATCAGATGTGCATAGCGAAAACAAGCAAAATACTTCACAAAGAACTTTGTCGCTTTCCAAAGCTCGAGTTATTGCTATTCTGATTGCAGTAGCCGTTGTTTTGGGATATGCTCTGTTTTTTTGCGCGAAAAGCTCTTCTCTGGCTTCGCGTTCCTCGCTATTCAATGTTTCCAGGTATTTTGTCCAACGGTAATTAGGGGTACCATAGCTGACAATTGTTTGCACGTAGACTGCAGCAGCTGCTAAGGCAAGTGGTTGATACTCGAGAACTTTAGCAACCTCCTCAGCTTGTTGTTGATTCGAAATTTGGGACACTTCTCTTAAAAGGTCTACTGCGTCATCTGGATGCATTCCTTTACTGAGAGATTCATGGTAAGCATAAGGGGAATTGAACGGTATTGACTGGGTGTCTTGTGTTGTTATCAGCACCTGACCATGACCCCATTCTTCACTGGCGGTTGGAGGCAGATAACTAGGAACCAAGGATAGGTCAACAACATTATCCACAATAATCAGCCAGGCAGAAAATCGTTTCACTTTTGGAGAAATGAAACGCATCAGATGCTGCATTGTTTCACTTGAGCTGTCCCTCTTTAAGGTTGCCAGGTTGGTTAGGGCGTATTCCGTAACTCCCAGTTGTTTGGCTAGATTGAAATAGGAGTCGGCGAGTGAGTCAATGGTCTCTGCATTCAGCGTTACAACAAATGTAAGACCTTCGCCTTCACGAAGTCTTGTGTCATAGACGTCCTGTCCCACTTGACGAGCGATTTGACTTTTGCCACAGCCCGGAATTCCTGATAAATAAATGGTGCTGATGGCCCCTTTGCTTTCATTTTTAAGTTCCTCCAGCTTGTTCTTGATTCTTGTGACATCGTTGGAACGTCTGATGATTTGGTGCGATGGCTTGAATGTAAGACTACAGAAAGACTCGACTTTGGAATTGATTTCCTGAGTGAGGGTTTCTACTTCTTCCTGCTTGGTATGTAATGCGTCTTGGGTCAATTGTAAGTCGGAGTTTAGATTTTTAACTTCTTCATTTTTCGCTTTTAAATCAGCTTTAAGTCCATCAGCCTTTAGCTTGAGGCTTTTTACTTCTGCTGTGGGAAAGCTGCTCTGGTTTTTAACATCCTCGATTTCATCAGTTGCGAGTTTCAAAGATGTAAATGCAGCTATCACTCTTGCGACATAATTTTGAAATTCAACATCAGTAACTTCAACCTCGTTTATGTGAGCGATGTCGTTTCGCACCTGTCGAAGATCGTCGACCTCTTTTCTGATTGTCGAACTCAGAGTGGTGCCAATACTATCCGAGAACAATATCGCAAAAAGTAGACAACTGCAGTCCCACTCCGCGGTGTTTCCCTTTGTTATTGTCGCAAAATATCGAGCATTCTTTTTGCGACTTCTCCCCGTTTCGTTGTTGTAGAAATCGCTGCCATTTTGTGGAATGTCTTTCCATTCCCCAAATGGAGTTGTCATGTAAAGGAAATTCCACTCTTGTTTGAAGACTTTCCGAAGTCCTTCGGGGACCAAGTTGAAGGCGATATAACATATTCTGAAATAGTTTAACTGTTGTGAAGTATATTCCATTTTGAATTGGGATCTAGTAAAAAGATTAGCGAAAGAAAAAAATCAGAGTAAAAATCGCTACCCACCCCAAAGAAATCCTACATCGAAGGACCAATCCCCCCCCCCCGCTACTCATTGCCTGATTTTTCGCCTTCGACATGCATGAAACAAAAGGGTGGAGCAAAACAAAGGCAACAAAAATTTACTTACGCTTTTTTAGCTTATAGCTCCGTGAAATTGTAGAAATTAGTTCGTTGGCCTGTTAGCCTGTGGGAAAGAATAGTGAAAACCTTTTAGAATGAAAACCTGAAGGGAAAACGCGAAAGAGAGGCCAGGCTTATTAACTTTTTCCCTTGACAAGGGGGAGCTTATTTGAGAGGGGCGGGGACTTAATAGAGGATTTACGAAACCACAGCTGAAACCAAAACAGCAAAGTTTTAAAAGAATTTTCAGGCACATTTAAAACATTTATGTATTTATAGTTGTTTGATAGATGTTTTATACATTTGACCTCCAATTCCGTGTAAAATGCGCCGGCCGCTGTTACTTTCGTGAAAGCATCCACGATCCAGCTAGTGTTACGTGAACTGTTTTTTAAGGATAAATTATGGGTTTTGTTTCGTCTTTGTTCGTTCATAAAATTAGTTTAAAACACCGTCGTGAGACTGCAGCATCCAATTTATTTCAAGCATCACTTCTGAGTAGGGTGATCGGTGAATTTCATTTTTCATTTTGAGCACAATTATGGTTTACTAGTTGTTATAGATTGAAAACAGACAAAATAAGAAAATTTTTTGAAAGCTTATTTGCACTCTAATTTAACTGCTTAAATGGTCATTCAACTAACGTTTTTTGAAATGAAAAGTTCGTAAAAACGCGACGGTGGGATAGTCGTTTATGGGTTATGCTCCGTGAAACCTTTTAGAACATTTTCAGGCTTTTGATACATAGCATTCGTCGGTAGCAATTTTTACAAAGGCGTTAGGACGGTTAAACTCTGCCTTAAAAAAACTTCTTTAACATGAATGTATTGCTATACTAAAATAAGCAGAAAAACTGCTTTTTTAGTTAAACGTGCTCCCCGGAAAATTAAAGCGGAAAGGACTTTTTTAATACTGCAAATGGGAGCATATACTTTCCTAAAAAGGACCATCCGAGGAAATTAGTGGCGTTTATATCTGCGACCAAAGTCCTGAAATATTTTTAAACCAGTCAGGGAGAAAAGCTGGAAACCAAAACAAAGCTTGAGCAGGTTGGTTGTTCGCAAGTTTGATTCCCGCAAAACTCGCGCAAAATTGACGAAAGACGTGACGAATTTCAGTTCCTTGCGAATCGCGTGACGAATTTTTGCCTATGCACAATAGAAAACTGAACGGTTGTCAGCAGAGGTTACTTTTCGCACTCCAACTCATACCGCGAAAATGTAGTCACACTCCGGAAATAGCCGGGCGCCCACATTTGCCTCGCACTCAGAAGTTTTTTTGGCTCTTCACGCAAACACTATTAAAAACCAATCAGTTGAGTAGAGTCTACGAAGGAAGACGGACATTTCAGTAACTGAAGAAATTGAAATAAGGGGAGTCAATTTAATTAGTAGGAAAAGAAGTGGTAGACCTGTATTTATGTTCATGTGGACGGATGTGTTTTCGGTGATTAGGCTTAAGCACTGACTTTGAATGGTTAGCTTTTATTTTCTGTTTCAAGAAACTCCATAGAAATACTACAAAATATAGACAAAGGGGACAGAATTTAAAAGGAAAAGAAGTGAGAAAATAGACCTACATTTATGTATGTTTTGGACGGATGTGTATTCGGTGATTCCGTGGTACAGTTCGGAACTTAAAAAACTCAAAATATCGCGGAGAAAACTAGAAAAGAAGATGTTGAAATCGAGATCACAGCAGGATAAGGATGCGTATAGGGAAGTTTGCAATAACTACTCTATGTCTCTGAAGATTGCGAAGCAGAGGTATTACTCTGATCTCATTGAAGAATGTGGTGGCGATACATTAAACTGTTTCAAGTTGTTCGATCCTTGTCTAATAAGCCTGAGGAAAATCAGCTCCCTCCCCATGATGATCCCTGCAAGTTAGCTGATGATTTTGGAGAGTTCTTTTGCCGGAAAGTTGACCTAATTAGAAATGATATTGATGTTATTACTAATAATAATAATAATAATAATAATAATAATATTTATAGAGGGAGCCCAACTCGCCAAGGCGGTTTTCAGTGGGGCCCTTACTGTTGTTTCACTAGTTCTAAATGTTCCTACACCTGAGAACAAGTTTGAGAAGTTTGATGTCCTCTCCGAGGAAGAAGTGTCTGATATTATTATGGGCTCTTCTAATGCTAGTTGTCAGTTGGACCCGATACCGACATGGTTGTTGAAACTGTGTGGCAGTGAACTAATTCCAGTCATAACTAAAATGATTAATCTATCCCTTCAATAGGGACAAGTTCCAGACAGTTGGAAAGCTGCTTTAATTAGACCGTTGTTAAAGAAACTGGGACTTGAACTAGTTTATAAGAACCTCAGGCCGGTTAGTAATCTGCTTATTGTCTCCAAATCAGCTGAGAAGGCAGTTGTGGGTCAGCTTTTCCGGCACTGCTCTGATAATGCTCCACTTCCAGTTCATCAGTCATCCTATCGTCAGTCTCATTCAACTGAGACGGCTCTTCTTAAAGTCCAGAGAGATATACTCTCCAACATGGACAAACAGGAAGTAACTCTTCTTGTTCTTTTACATCTTAGTGCCGCTTTCGACACTGTCGATCATAATATCCTGATTTACACCCTGGAATCAGATTTTGGAATTTGCAGTGATGTTCTGAAGTGGTTTAGATCATATTTGACTGTAAGGGCACAACGTGTAATTGTTAATCAGCAGTCCTCCAAGACCTTCAATTTAAATTATGGTGTTCCTCAGGGGAGCTGTTTGGGACCTGTTCTTTTTTTTATTGTAAGCATTAAGGCTGTTTGAGGTTGTTAAGAAGCACCTTCCATCAGTTCATGGGTACGCTGATGATACTCAGTTGTACGTGTCGTTTCGTCCAGATTAGTTTGCTGCTCAAGATCACGCGATTATAAGGCTATTGAGAACTGCATAGCTGATGTTAAGGCTTGGTTAGTCTCACACAGGTTGATGTTTAATGATTCAAGGACAGAATTTCTAATCATCGGTTCGTGGCAGAAGTTATCTAAGGTTACCATGGCTTCAATTAAAGTTGGTAACTGTGACCTTCAACCCCTTAACCCTATTTAGACTGGGCTTTTTTGGTCAATCTGTGACTGGGTGGGGGGGGGGCTCCTCGGACCCCCCCTCTGTATCTCTGGAACCAATAATGCTAGGGTCATGAAATTTACACACAATGATCATCTCCGTACAAAGAAGCCCCACACCCAGTTTGGACTTGCCACGCCCAATTATGACGTCACAGTGACGTCATATTCCGATTTTTCAATGTTTCTTATTATTTTTCCACTTAGATACGTAAAATATCAATAATATTGGTAAAGTCATCTCTTTAATATAATATACAACATATATGCATATAAAATACACACTTGTACAGCGAGAAAAAGCAATAGGAAGCAATAAAATTTAAAATTTGAAATGGTTGTCTGCCATCTTGGATCCGCCATCTTGGATCCGCCATCTTGGATTTCCGTTTTTTTGTTAAAATTATAATTTAAAGCAACTTTCATAGGGGAAAAAGCTCAGAATGTATAAAAGAATTATCAAACTAATGTTTATTACCCAAACAAATGACTTTGGAAGTGTTATTTGGAAAATACAGCAGCATATTTGTCAAAGCAAAAAAGTGACAAATTTTAGCCCACCCCTCCCCCCGAAATATTCGATGTTGAAACATTTTGATGTAATTCAAAAACTAGTCCCAAACAAAGACCATTTTAACAACAAAAAACACTATAAGCGTAAAAACGCGATCTTAAAACAAAAAAATCACCATTTTTTAAATTTTCCAAAACCTATGTGTCAGAAACTGGTTGCCATGGCAACATGATTAATCACATGGACATGGTAATTATACCAAAATGTTCCTAGATAAATATTAGGAAAAGTCAGAAAATTTGAACGTCATAGCTCTTTCGGTGTAGGAGTTATCACGATTTTGCCGGAGGGGGGTTCGAAAAGCCCCCCCCCAGTCTGAATAGGGCTAAGCATGTTAGAAATCTTGGCACATGGTTTGATAACCATATGTCTATGAATACTCATATAGGAAAGGTATGTAGTAAGACATTTAGGGAGCTTTATAATATTAGGCAAATTAGGAAATATCTGTCTGCAGAATCAACAAAGTGTTTAATTCATGCGTTTGTTACATCACATTTAGATTATTGCAACGCTCTTTTGTATAAACTTCCACAATATCAATATGACCGACTTCAAAAAGTTCTTAATGCGGCGGCTCGGGTTACATGCTTAATTCCTAAGTTTGCTCATATTACTCTGGTACTTAGGGAACTTCATTGGTTGCCAGTAAAATTTAGAGTAGAATTTAAGATTTCACTTTTAGCTTTTAAAACGTTGAACGGCCTGGCGCCACATTATTTATCTGAACTACTTGTTGTAAAGCTTAGAACTAGATATAGCCTGCGGTCTGTTTCTGAAGCATTGCTTGTAATCCCTAAGGTGACACGGAAGACTTTTGGCGATCGAGCCTTTTTCCATGCTGGACCAACAGTATGGAATGCTTTGCCATCTAGCCTTGAAAAAAAAGTAGCAACATTGACTCTTTTAAAGTACACTTGAAGACTTATCATTTTAAGAAAGCTTTTAATTTGTAATGTTATATTCTTATTACTATTACTATTTCTGCCATCTAGCCTTAGAAACTGTATGAACAGTGACTCTTTTAAAGTACAGTTAAAGACTCATCTTTTTAAGAAAGCTTTTAATTTGTAATTTTATATTCTTATTACTATTATTATTTCTGTCCATTTATTGTATATATATATATATATATATATATATATATATATATATATATATTTATTT